GCCCGCGAGCGCGGGCTAAAGTCGGAGGTTGCCAAAGGTGCCCCTGGCCCAAGGTGCCCCCAGCTTTTCGCTCAATGTTGGAGCTCCTGGGGCCCTCTGGACCTCGTGGGGGGTGCTCTGGAGGCCGTGGTGGCCTCCTTGAAAATCCTGGGGGTACCGTGGGCCAGGGGCACCTCTAGCAACACCCGATAAAGGGCGCTGGCAGGCCTCCAGCCCACGGACTCCAGCATCCACCGAAGCCGCTCGCCGAGCCGAGGCTCGCAGTCAGCCGCCTGGCGGAGGAGGCCGTCGGCGACCGCGAAGACCTCCTCAGGGCCTACCTCCGAGGCCGCAGCTCCGCCAGTGCGTAGCAGGCGCCGCCGCCGCGAGCGCCGCGCCCAGCTCCGCCGCCGCCTTCGCCCGAGGACGCCCGGGCCCGCGCCGCCGCCGCGCGGCCTCGTCGGCCTGGCCGTCGCGCCCGAGGCCGCGCCCCGCAGCGCCAGCAGCTCCTCCAGCTCCGCGAGCTGGATTCGCCGCCTCCGCCGCCGTCGCCCCGCCAGGGGCGCCCACGAGGGCCAGCGCCGCGTCTGCAAGCGCGGCCGTCGCAGCGGCCGAGCCAGAGCCCGAACCGCCCGCGCCGGCGGCAGCCACCACCGCGACGCCCCAGCCCTCGCATCTCCACCTAGGCCGACGCCGCCCGCGGACGGGCAAGCCGTCGGCCCAGGGGTCGTCGATGATCCCGTCGCTGTCGACGCCGTTGAACACGGGGGCGTCGCTGCCAGAGCCGCCCCCAGGAGGGGCAGGCAAGCCAGCGCGACCGGCCCCAGGAACAGCATCGCGATCAGCACGGCGCCCTTCAGCGAGACGAGCGCGGCGCCGCCGCCGCCGCTCCCGCCTCGCATCCGATGCGCCATCTTTACGGCCAGCCAGCGCTGGCGGCCGCAAGCGGCTGCGGGGGCGCCGCGGCCCGAAGGGCCACCGCAACCGCGCCCCGCGCCACCGCAGTCGCCGTTCGCCGTGACGCCGTGGCCTCGACGCGCGCGCAGGCCAGCCATCCCGCGAAGGACGACCGAGGCGGAGGCGCGGCGCGCGGTCGCTTGCGCCAGAATGCGCCACTGGGCCTTTAAGCCTTAGGTGGAGCCCCCTTATGGGGTCACGAAGCGCGTGAGGGGCGTGCCAAAAATGGGGCGACGGCTCCGTGCGAGCTGCGCCACTGGGACCTTAGGTGGAGCTCTCTATGGGGCTACGAAGCGTGCGAGGGGTGTGCCAAAGATGGGGCGGCGGCGCCTGCGAACTGCGCCGCTGGGACCTGAGCTCGAGCTCCCTATGGGGCCACGAAGCGCGCGAGGGGTGCGCCAAAAGTGGGGCGGCGGCGCCATGCGAGCAAAGCCATTGGGACCTTAGGTGGGGCTCCCTATGGGGCCGCAGAGCGTGCGAGGGGCGTGCCAAAATGGGGCGGCGGCGCCATGCGAGCTGAGCCACTGGGACCTCAGATGGGGCCCCCTACGGGGCCACGAAACGCGCGAGGGGCGCGCCAATGATGCGGCGGCGCCATGCGAGCTGCACCACTGGGACATTAGATGGGGCCGGCCCCTTTATGAGGCGGCGAAACGTGTGAGGGGCGCACCGAAACAGAGACATCATGATGGCAGGGGCAAGGACAGGGAGAAGGGAGGGGGGGAGGAGGGAGGAGGAGGTGGGGCGCGGGGCGCTGTCTCTTCAAGACGAGGACCCAACCCGCGAACCGCGCAAGGCTCGCGCCGACTTGCGCGGCGAGGTGCACGACGCGAACGAAGACGATCGGTCTAATCACAAGAGACTGAGCGCGAGTGAATCTGAGCGAGTGAGTCTGGAGTGTGAATGAGTCTGCGTGCGAGTAAGTATCTTCGCATGAAGGCGAACGTGGCCACGCCAGGTGCATGTGTGCATATATATATATATATATATATATGTATGTGAACGGTTCACGCATGCCTGACCCTGAGTACTCGTGACACTGACCGTGGCCGCCGCAGGAGAGCTCGCGCGCCGCGACGCCCAGGTCGGCGCGCTCCTCACAAAAGTCACGCCCGTCTCCTTCCCGTTGTTTCTCCCTCTTTGCCCGCGCTCGCCCGCGTCCAAGGCTGCGGGCGCGGCGCCGCGCGGAGCCCCCGCGACGCGCGTCGGTCGCCCCGGAAAGGTCCTAGCGACGCGCGCGGGTCATCCGCTGCGCTGCGCGGAGCAGAGAGAGCTAGCCGGCTAGCAGAGCTGCGCGGGGCAGAGGCCGTGGCCGCCGGGGAGAACGACGACGGGGGCGGACGCGGTTCTGGGCAGAGCGCAGCGCGGAATTCCCGCGACGGGCTCCAGTCGCCCCGAGAGGGCCCCAGCGACGCGCGCGGGTCGCCAGCGGCGCGAGGCCGATCAGTCAGACCGTCGGCGAGGCTCGGGCGGGCCGCTCGTCAGCTCAAGCCTCGCGGATGAACTCGGTGAAGCTCAGCTCCCTGGCGAGGGCCGCACCCCCCCTCCTGCGCCGCTTCGCGCGCGTGGCAAACTGCCCCAGCTGCTTCCACATACCCTCCGTCAGCCCTGCCAGGAAGAACTCGATGCGCGGCACCCGCATGAGAAGGAGGTCCTCGTGGCGCGTGGCGCGCGAGGGCAGCGCGTAGAGCTCCAGCCACCTGTCGTCGCCCTCCTTCTTGCCGTTCCCTACCTCGTGGCGGCCGCAGTCCAGGATCGCGCCTGGGCGACGTCGGCCGAGGGGGCAGCGCGCCGGAAAGCCGACGGCTCAGGGCGAGAGTCCACGGGACCGAGAGAAGGTCTGGCTGCGGACCGCTCAGGCTCAGAAACTTTGGCCGTAGACTGCCGGGGGGCGCCGTTCCCTCGCCCCGTCGCCTTCGCGCACGGTGCGCCCCCGGCACGCTGCCGTGGCGATGGCCCTGCCGTGCGAGAACGGGAAGCCCGTTCGGGTGACCCTGGAGCCGCGGAACGTGAACGGCTCCGACGCGCGAGGCTCGATGAACACCAGCGGGCCCGTGAGGTCCCCCGTGAGGCTATCAACGTGGCGCTTGAGGTCGTGCACGAAGGGCGCGCTCGCTGCTTTTTCATGTGCACCCAGAACCCCGCAAGTGCTTCAGATACATCCTCTTCTCCCCTAGGGTCACGAAACGTGTGAGGGGTGTGCCAAAATGGGGCGGCGGCGACATGCGAACTGCGGCACTAGGACCTGAGGTGGAGCTCCTTATGAGACCACGAAGCGTGTGAAGGGTTTGTCAAAATGGGGCGGCGACGCCTACGAACTGGAACGTCCTGTGGGGCCACGAAACGTGTGAGGGGTGTGCCAAAATTAGTCGGCGGCGCCATGCGAACTGCGCCACTGCGACCTGTGGTGGAGCTCCCTGTGGGTCACGAAACGTGTGAGGGGTGTCCCAAACGGGGCAGCGGCGGCATGCGAACTGCGCCACTGGGACCTTAGTTGGGGCTCCCCATGGGGCCACGAAGCGTGTGAGGTGTGTGCCAGAATGGGGCGGCGGCGCCATGCGAACTGCGCCACTGGGACCTGAGGTGGAGCTCCCTATGGGGCCACGAAACGTGTAAGGGGTGTGCCAAATTGGGGCGGCGGCGCCATGCGAACTGCAACACTGCGGCCTGAGGTGGAACTCCTCTGGGGTCACGAAACGTGTGAAGGGTGTGCCAAAGTGTGGCGGCGGCGCCATGCAAACTGCGCCACTGGGACCTGAAGTGGAGCTCCCTCACGCCATTGGAACTGCGCCACTGGGACCTGAGGTGTAGCTTCCTATGGGGCCACGAAGAGTGTGAGGGGTGTGCCCATATGGGGCGGCGGCGCCATGCGAACTGCGCCACTGCAGCCTTACGTGGAGTTCTCTATGGGGCCACGAAACGTGTGAAGGGTGTGCCAAAACGGGGCGGCGGCGCCATGCGAACTGCGCCACTGGGATCTTGACTGGAGCTCCCTTCTGGGGCCACGAAACGTGCGAGGTGTGTGCCAGAATGGGGCGGCGGCGCCATGCGAACTGCGCCGCTGGGACATTAGGTGGAGCTCCCTATGGGGCCACGAAGCGTGTGAGGGGTGTGCCAAACTGGGTCGGCGGCGGCATGCGAACTGCGCCACTGCGACCTGAGGTGGAGCTCCTTATGGGGCCACGAAACGTGCGAGGGGTGTCAAAATGGGGCGGCGGTGTCATGCGAACCGCGCCACTGCGACCTTAGGTGGAGCTCCCTGTGGGGCCACGAAACGTGTGAGGGGTGTGCCGAAACAGAGACATGCGGAGAGCAAAGTCAAGGAGGGGGAGAGGTAGGAGGAGGAGGAGGAGGAGGAGGAGGAGGAGGAGGAGGAGGAGGAGGAAGGAAGGAAGGAAGGAAGGAAGGAAGGAAGGAAGGAAGGAAGGAAGGAGGATAACGCGGGGCACTGTCTCATCAAAACGAGGACCCAGCACCACAGGATGGTTGGGAATGATGTATTGAGGTTGGTCCACCTGGCGCCTTGGCCCAGGTGTAAGAAAAAATGATGTATGCTAACGGCTGGCGGTGCTCCATTTGCACTTGGAGTCAGACCTGGCCTTGGAAGCTAGGCGCAGTAGGATATGGTCGTTTTCTCGACGGCCGCATCCAAAGCCTGAAACTCATCCGCAGAGCGACTAGGAGGACGACGACGCCGAAGAGGCGGGAAACGTAGAGGAGGTTGAGGAGCAGGAGACAGAGGGGGATGCCAGTGGAAAGGCTGAAACCTGTAACCCTCAACCTTCTCCTCCTCCTCCTCCTCCTCCTACTCCTCCTCGCACGGCCCGCCTTCAGATGATCATTCTCGTCGTGACTGTGACCTCATACTCAATGAGATCCCGCTGCTCTTTATCCTCGTCCTCTTCATCGTGTCTCCTCCTCGGCCTCCTCCTCTTCTTCTTATTATTCTTCTTATTATTAATCCTCTTCTCATCCTCCTCATCGTGTCTCCTCCTCTTCTTCTTCTTCTTCCTCCTCCTCCTCCCACTCATTCTCGCCATCGCGCGCTTGAAGCCCTGGGGTTCCTCTCGTCAGCCTCTTCAACTGCACGCCTCTTCCCCGACTCGGTGTCGTCGCAGAACTGCTTGTAGGCCGCAAACTGCACCTGACGCCGGCTCCTCATTTTTTCAACGAGCGAGGAGGAGCGAGCGAGGAGGAGCGAGGAGGAGGAGGAGGAGCGAGGAGGAGGAGGAGGGGCAGGAGGAAGAAGGAGCGAGGGGGAGGAGGAGGAGCAGGAGCAGGAGCACGAGGAGGAGGAGGAGGAGCAGGAGGAGAAGGAAGGTGATGCCGTGCGTCCCTGGAGGATCCCGCAGCCGTTCGTGGAGGCCCCTGGAGGCCTCACAATGGCCGCAGGGGCCTTTCCTGGAAGCTCGGTGGGATGGCAAGAGACGAATCGAAGAAAACAAAACGGCATGAGCATAAACTGTTGGCGCTCCGAGCGGATTTCCTCGATCTGCGCTGGACACCCCTCCCTGGCCCGAGGCGCCGCCGGGGGAGCCCAGCGCGGATCCAAGAGATTCGCGCGGAGCGCCAACAGTTTATGTATATAGCGTCTGTGAATATTATTACCATTCGTATTATTATTATTAGTATTATTATTATTATTATTAGTAGTAGTAGTAGTAGTAGTACTCGTAGTCGTAGTCGTAGTCGTAGTAGTAGTAGTAGTAGTAGTAGTAGTAGTAGTAGTAGTAGTAGTAGTAGTATGATGATGATGATACCTATTCGTATGATTATTATTGTTATTACAATTAGTCGTAGTAGTACTAGTAATACTATTTTTAGTAGTATTAATATCAGTATTAGTATAATTATCATTAGTAGTATTATTATTAATAAAAATAGTAAAACTATTATTATTATTATTACTATTACGATTCGTAATATATTATGATTACTATTACTGGTATGCTGATTCTTAATGTTTGATATTATTCTTAGTAGTACTATTTTTGTTGTTCGTATTCTTAATAGTATGAAGGTACTACTATTATTATTATTAATCATATTACGCTTATTGGTATTAGTCTTAGTATTATTATTATTATTAGTTTTACTATTACTAGTATTATGATTGTTGATAGTAGTATTAGTATTATGCGTATTATTAGTGGTATTCTTGTTAATCGAAGCAGTTTTCGAAAAACAGCGGCCCGTGCCCGAGTCCAGGCATCGTGAGAGCTCCTCACTTCTCGACGTGCGCACTGGCTCGGAACGCCCCCGCGCGTGCACTGCCCCGCGCTCCGAGCGCGGCTCCTCGGAGGAGGGAGGAGAGAGGAGGGGAGGAGGGGAGGAGGAGGGAGGAGGGAGGAGCAGGAGGGAGGAGGGAGGAGGGAGGGAGGGAGGAGGGAGGAGGGAGGAAGGAGGAGGGAGGAGGGGGGAAGTGGGAGGGAGGAGGGAGGAGGAAGGAGCAAGAGGAGGAGGAGGAGGGAAGGAGGAGGAATGAGGGAGGAGAGAGGGAGGAGAGAGAGTGGAGGAGGGGAGGAGGAGGGAGGGAAAGAGGGAGGGAGGAGGAGGAGGAGGCGGAGGAGGAGGAGGGAGGAGGGAGGAGGAGGAGCTCAGTCTTCCCGCGCGGCCGCCTTCGCCCTCCTCGCACGGGCACGCTGGCGCGCGCTCTCCGCCCTCCTGCAATGCCTGGCAGGCTGCCACGGCAGCGCCCGCCGGCTGAATAGCTGTCGTGCGTGCCGGCTCGCAGCGCGGACTGCATCTGTGGCGATGCCCTGAGATCCGACACTCCTCGTCCTCCTCGTCCTCCTCCTCCTCCTCCTCCTTCTTCTCCTCCTCCTTCTCCTCCCCCTCCTCCTCCTCGTCCTGCTCCTCCTCCCCTCCTCCTCCTGAGCCTCCTCCCCTCCACTGATCCTGCGTGCCCTGAGATCCGACGCTCCAACAAAAACTGGAGCAGGCGGTATTTGGCCGTTTTCGGCCTCCAGGGGGCCCTCGCCGGGCCTCGGGAGCGTCAGAAACCGACACGGGACGAAAAACCGGCCCCAGGGAAGTGGTCTGGACCTCTGGGGCCCACGCACCGAAGAAATTGGAGCAGCCAGATCTCTGGGCGCGTGCCTCGGCGTCGCAGTCGTCGGGGGCGGCCAAGGAGGGGGGCGTCCAAGGAGGGGGAGGGGGGCGCAAGTCATGGCCGGCGGCACGCGCGCGGCCCAAAGGGGGCCGGGGGCGCGTGGACATAAGAAGAGGAGCCATGACATCTGGGGAGACATCATGGCCCCCGCTGGGATATCCCCTCCCTACTCATCACCCCCTCTTGGCCGCCCCCGAAGTTGACAGAAAGCACACGAGCAGTCCCAGGACGCCCGCGTGGGCAAGCGTTGCTTCGTGCTGTCCCCGGGTGGGCAACCACGGCCGCGGCGGGCGGGGCCAGCCGAGGAGGGCCACGGGATGCCAAGCAGGCAGGAGCATCCAGTCGGCGGTCGGCTGCGCGGCGCCTTCTTATCGAGGATGGCCGCAAGACGAATGCTCCGCGCTGGATGCGGAGCACAACGATTGCGTGCATGATGGAGCAATGACGACGACGACGACGACGACGACGACGACGACGACGACGACATCGGCAACGATCAAGAGCAGGAGGAGCAGGAAGGGCATAACTACGGGGAGGTGGAAGCAAAGGATGAGAAGAGGTGACACGTAACACAACATGAGGTCGCAAATAACGGATGTACGTATCTGGAGTCGCCCAGGCCTGAATCCAGACAGCTCTGGAGGCTGGGGAAGAACGACGAGGAGCAGGAGCAGGACCAGGAGCAGCAGCACATCGAGAGCATCATAACATGAATCCCATCAGCCCGCGTGAGTGGTCTACGGAGTTTCCTCTTCCATGCCTCCTTCTTCCCCTTCGGGGAGGGGTTCTACCCTTCCCCCCACCCCTCCTCTGAACCTGGACGGGGGGCTGGAGGGGGTTAGAGCGTTCAAGTTGGTTTTGGCGAGAAGGCAAACCTCATTGATTCCCCGAAGGTGTTCGGCCATCGTGCCTCCTGTGGGGGGGGGGGGGACAATTGACCACCCCCTTCTTTGATCGAACTCCTCCAAGATGGTTTCCAAGGCTCCCAAGAGTGCCCCAAGATGGCCCCTAGAGGCACCCAGAAGGCCCCAATAGGCCCCCAAGAAGTCCCCAAGAGGCTCCCAAGAGACCCCCAAGAGGCCCCCAAGACGCCCCAAGAGTACTTCAAGATGTTCTGTAGAGACATCCGAAGGGACTCCGAGAGGCATCCACGAGGCCTCTGGCCTTTCTGCTCGCCCTGCTTCTCATCCGCCTATTCATCCTCCTCCCTCCTCCCTCCTCCCCCCTCCCCCTCACCCTCCTCATGCTCCTCATCCGATTCCTCATCCATCCTCCTCCTCTTAGGAGATGACGGTTTCCCCAGCCCTGTATTCCGCTGCATGTTCCTCAACATCCCTGATCAGGGCAACTCCACTGGGCATCGTTTCTGGACGGGCTGGTGGGGTTACGCGAAGCGTCTACAGTAAGAGTGACACGCAATTGCTTTTGCCTCTGCCACGGCCATCAACGTCAGCGTTCTCTCTGCACTTCTGGCGGCATTCCAACAAGTGCAGCTGCCTCCGCCCACAATTAATGCCCGAACGAAACGATGTGGCCTGCTCAGCATGCTTCTCGTCCTTGCCTTTGGCGAGCATGTTTTCCAGCAGCTCGACAACCTTCTGCACCGGCGTCACCTCCGCGAGCCAGTATGTTATCTGGTAGAAGGGTGAAGATGCTCTGTGGTGGGGAGGAGGGAGGAGGAACAGGGCGGAGCCTACGGATGATGCAGGACGAGCAGCAGCAAACATGGGAACAGGAGCGCAGCTAGGATCGGAACCGAAGAAAGAGATCCCCACCCGAGGGGATCGCGGCACTGGGCACTCGGGTGCTGACCGATACAGTGGAGGCCAATCCACAAGAAACCTTCCACAAGAAACCCAACCCTGAGACCCCAGGACGTCCATCGATCTCTTGTGTAGGAACGCCACGCTTTCCATAGCAAAACCACCGAAACCCAAGAAACCCAGGGCACCCTGGAGGCAAACAGGGTGTTTCCTGGCATGGGCCTCCACTGTAATCGGGCATCGTTCGTGCGGATCGGCATGTGAGGAACATCGACCCAGACATGCGACGTTCTGATTTTTTCGATACGGGGTCCCCGGAAGAAGTCCCGACCCTTTTCCCGGGACCAGTTGTTCGTCCTGAATCGTTGTTTGACGGTCCCGAGGCCGCCCCCCGAGGCCGAAATGGACCAAAAACGTCCCACTGCGTTTCTTGGTGTTTCTTGGCATGGGTCCCCACTGCAAACTCCAAACATGCCAACCCGTGATCGTCTTACGAAAAGAGTGCCGCGCGCCGCCCAGCGACGCCCCCGCATCGGATGCGAGGAGGTCCACGGCGCCCTCCCCCCCTGGGCCAGTCCTCGCCCGTGGGCCCAAGAGGAGGAGGGAGGAGGGAGGATGGGGAGGGGGAGGAGGGGGAGGACGAAGAGGAGGAGGAGGAGGAGGAGGAGGAGGAGGAGGAGGAGGAGGAGGAGGAGGGAGGAAGAGGGAGGAGGGAGGAGGGAGGAGGAGCAGCCCGCTCGAGCAGTCGCTCTCGCTCTCTGGCCTCTTCGTCTCTCTCTCTCTCTTTCTTATGGGGTTGCTGGCGGAGGCGGTGGAGGCCGTGGAGGGTGGGTAGGTGGTGGAGGGAGGCGGTGGAGGCGGTGGAGGGTGGGCAGGTGGTGGAGGGAGGCGGTGGAAGGAGGAGGTGGAGGCGGTGGAGGGTGGGCAGGTGGAGTTTGCGGAGGAGGCGTCCACCATCCCATCAGCTGTCTCCGAGCTCCGCACCGCCCGCCCACTGACGCGTGCCTGCTCGCTGCTCGGTCGGCGCGCGCGCGTCGGCCGAAGAGAGAAAGCCACGGGTGCGGTGCGCGCCCAGCGGCCTGCGCGAGGAAGAGGAGGAACCGGAGTCGGAACAGCTGCGATGGGGTCCCTCAGGAGGAGGAGGAGGAGGAAGAGAAGGAAGAGAAGGAGGAGGAGGAGGAGGAGGAGGAGGACGAGGCGGAGGAGGAGGAGGAGGAGGAGGAGCTCCTGGACAGCAGCATTGGCCCGAGGCGCCCTCAGCACTTGGGCCCATTCGGAGCCCCGGGGCCTCGTCTCGGGAGGCGCCTGCGGCAAACTTGGGGCCTCTCTCTGGCAGCCCGAGGGACACACGGCCGCTCCTGCCCACACCCAGCGGCGTCGCTCCTCCTCCCCCTCCTCCTCTTCCTCCTCCCTCCTCCTCCTCCACCTCCCCCTCCGCCTCCTCCTCCTCCTCCTCCTCCTCCTCCGCCTCCTCATCCTCATCCTCCTCCTCCACCTCCTCCTCCTCCTCCTGGCCAGCACTGCCTCCTGCAGACCAAAAGAACCCTGTGCCTCAGGGGAGGAGCGCGGCGCCCCGAAGTGGAGCGCGTCGGACCCCAAAGCAGGGCCGGCGGTGCTCGTGCCTCGGGCGCCGTGCTCTCTTTGGAGAGGTGGGCCCCGAACCCCCAGCGTCAGGTCGGGCATGTTCTCCTACAGGCCGATTTTGGGCGAAAGATAAGCATGTGTCAAGACATGCTCCAATATAGTCCAACAAAATCGTCCCCAGACTGTTGTTTGACCATTCTTGAGTCTCCCTCCCGTAGAGGGACAGGCCCGACTTACCCCAGCCCCGTGCCGCGGAGCATGCGGATATCATGGGAACGAGCAGCGGCGCCGGGGGTTGCAGGATCGGAGCGATGAGACGCATCAAGACATACTAGTACTTTATATGTTCAGTACTAGATGTTCTCCTTGAGGCGCGCGTCCGACCCAAACACATAGTATACCCATATTGTAGTATATCGTTTCCCGAGAGGTGTGGCCAGAAAACGCCTGCCACGACGCATATACTACAAGATTTCTCGGTGCGCGCATCGCCCCCGGCGAGGCGACGCACACATAGTATAAGTATGTTGGGGTGACGCCGAAGCGAGGATCGGAGCGGAGGCAAGGATCCCCACCCGAGGGGGTCGCAGCTCAAGGCACACGGGCGCCGAGCGCGGCCGTTCCGCAGCGGAGCGCCTTCGTGCAGGGCACGGCGCCGCGCCCCTGTGCTGCCCTGCCTGGGCCTCCGGCGCGCCCGAAGAAAAACGCAGAGGAAGGGCCCGGCGGTGTAGACTCGTGGGAGCCTCGTCTACCCTCTGAATTCTGTCTTTAGGGTTGTGGATGCCATGACAATGGACACTTTAGCAATCCTGTCATTGAATTGAAACGTGTGTTTAACATGTGTACAGCATGTTCTAAACATGTTTCAAACATGGCTTTTACTTATTGATACCATGTTTGAAACATGTTTTAAACATCTGGGAATTATTTGGCAGCATGCTTCCTCTCCGTTAATCGACTTCCAAAACTTTCGAATGCAATGGCGGACGCGGCCGCAAGAAACCCTCGCAAGAAACCAAGCCCTGAAGACCCGCGCGAGAGGTGCGACTGGGGGGAAGCCCAGGGCACCCTGAACGCAGCAGCTTCTTCAACGGCCGCGGGAAGTCACCGCGCAGCGCGAGGAGAGAGGAGGAAACCCAAGGTACCCTGATGACAAGCATATGGTTTCTTGATGCGCGCCCCCACTGTAGCGTCGATTTAGCGTCGACGAGCGTCGATTCGCAAGAGCCATCAAAGGGTATGGGAAGCCCCCACGAGTTGCCACCAAAGGAAGGGCCCCATTGACCCTCGACTCTCTGACCTACAGCGGAGGTCAGTCCACAGAAACCTTCCACGAGAAACCAAACCCTGAGACCCCAGGCTGTCCATGGGTTTCTGGCGTGGGAACGTCACGCCTTCCATAGCAAAACCACCGAAACCCAAGAAACCCAGGGCGCCCTGGAGGCAAGCAGGGTGCTTCCTGGCATGGGCCTCCACTGTAATCGGGCATCGTTCGTGCGGATCGGCATGTGAGGAACATCGACCCAGACATGCGACGTTCTGATTTTTTCGATACGGGGTCCCCGGAAGAAGTCCCGACCCTTTTCCCGGGATCAATTGATCGTTTTTGACGGTCCCGAGGCCCGGCGAGGCCCCCCCGAGGCCGAGATTGGCCAAAGACGTCCCACTGCGTTTCTTGGTGTTTCTTGGCATGGGCCTCCTCTGCACTCTGGCTAGGCCCCAACTCAGAAGCTGCTGCCGCTCGGGGGACGGCCCTCCCGCCGGGCCCGAGGCCGCTCCCAAGATCGGTCGTCCCCCGACCCCTCCCGCGGGTCGACCGAGCCCGCCTTTCGATGCGGGGCGGATCCAGCCGTTCGAGCGTTGCGTCGTGGGGGGGGGGGGGCTAATCCTCCTCCTCCTCCTCCTCCTCCTCCTCCTCCTCCTCCTCCGCCCTCCCCCTCCCCCTCCCTCCCTCCCTCTTCCTCCCTCCCTCCCTCCCTCCCTCCCTCCCTCCTCCCTCCCTCCACCTCCCTGCACCTCCTCCTCCTCCCCTCTCCTCCTCCTCCTCCTCCTCCTCCTCCTCATCCTCCTCTTCCTCCTCCTCCTACTCTCCTCCTCCTCCTCCTCCTCCTCCTCCTCTCCTCCTCCTCCTCCTCCTCCTCCCTCCTCTCCTCCTCCCTCCCTCCCTCCCTCCCTCCCTCCCTCCCTCCCTCCCCTCCTCTCCCTCCTCCTGTCCCCTCCTCCTCCCCCTGCACCTTCCTCCTCCTCCCCTCCTCCTCCTCCTCCTCCTCTCCTCCTCCTCCTCTTCCTCCTCCTCCTCCTCCTCCTCCTCCTCCTCCTCCCTCCTCCTCCTCCTCCACCTCCTCTCCTCCTCCTCCTCCTCCTCCTCCTCCTCCTCCTCCTCCTCCTCCTCCTCCTCCTCCTCCTCCTTCTCCTTCCGTAGCCATTTTAGCTCAAGGTGTTTTGTTCCCCAGGGGACCACACGGATACCGCTAGTCCGCGGCTGCTTTCATATTTTCCGCCTGGTTCTCCCCAGGTGCGGAGCCCTGCTTCAGTCAGCAGGGCCGTCAGCCCATGGGCCGCCATGGGGGCAGCAAGGGTGCGAGCGGTGCGTGTGGCAAGGGCGAGGACAAGTCGGGCACGTACGTCAGCTGCTCGGCGTGTCGCTATCGGTGGAATTTCAAGTCGAACCACTGGTGCTACCAGTGCTGCTCGCCGATGGTGCCGCACCCGTCGCCTGACAAGAAGCCCATGGGCCAGTGGTCGTTCGGTCCGCCCACGCTCGCGTCGAACCCGTTCGACACCGGCGCTGCGGCGGCGCCGCCCGCGGGAAGCCAGGCCAAGGGCCCCCCAGTGCCGCTGCAGGCTGCCAAGGGGGCGCCGAAGGAGCGCCGCTCATGGGGCTGGCACGGGCCTGGCTGGTACCCGTACGGCGGCGGGCCGCCGCCAGAGCAAGCGCGTGATGCACCGCCGCCTGCCGACCCCTTCGCGTTGCTACGCGAGCAGTTGGGTGATTGCGCGGAGATCACGGCCATCTCCGCCAAGCTGGCCGCCAAGGAGCAGCCCGCCGAGGCCCACGCCGCCCGCCAGTCTTGGAGGAGGAGGTCTCCGCGAAGGGGATCGCTTGCAGGCGCGCGCAGGCTTGGCTCGAGACCTGCGCGCGCCGCGTCATTGATGGCGAGGCCTGGCTGGCCAACGCCAAGGCGGCGGAGGCCGCGGCGGCCGAGGCGGCGCACCAGGCTCAGCAGGACTGGGAGGCGGTTTGTGCCAAGCAGCTGCCGTCGCTGTCGACGCCGCGGTCCGAGACGGCATCCGCTGCTACGGCCATCAACCCCTCGACGCCCGTCGACGAAGGCTCGCTGCGCTTCGTCGATGGCCCCCTCTTCGACCTGGAGGGCCTCGGGG